GAGTAGATTGGATTCTAAAGACCCAGACCCAATTGAACATAATAATATAGTGTTCCACAAAGCCAAAGACCCCAAGTATTGGGGAAAGGACCCACTACGCAACAATTGCTGTGGAAATGGGAAAGCAGTCTGGCAGAAATTAGGTTTAAACCAACTTCTAACACCAGATACTTTAATAAGTTCCAAATGTATACATGTCCTAGATGTAAGATGTAATATCATAAATTAGAGAGGGGAAGGAGATATTTTTCATTACAATGGATAGAGAGAAGATTCTTGACCTAACAAAGAATGGAGGTGATCTTAGATAAAATGTTTAATAGTGATAAAATTTAAAAGATTTTGTATGAATAAAAATCAATATAGGTAGAATTACAAGGGAAGCCATGAACTGGGAAAACATCTTTACTATACATTTCTCAGGTAAAGGATGGATATTATATACATATATATATATAATATGTAATATGTATACAAACATACACACATATACATATATACACAAATATTTATACACACAGATACACACATTGATATGGAATAGATAAAAATATAAAAGTAAAGCTATTCCCTTGTAGAAAAGTGGTCAAAGACTAAGAAATGCAGTTCTCAAAATAAGAGATGCAATCTATCAACAACCATATTAAAAAAATGTTCCATGTCACTCATAGTAAGAGAAATGCATATTAAAAAAATTCCAACATTCCACTTCATCCCGATGAAGTTGGCAAAGGTGGTTAAAAAAAAATGACAGTTGTTGGTAGGGCTATGGGAAAATAGGCACACTAATGTACTGTTGAGAAGCTGCCAAGTGGTCCAACCATTCTGAAAAGCTATTTGGAACTATACTCAAAATGTCATTAAACTCTGTATACTATTAATGAGCCATATGAAATGGCAAAAGGGATGAATTCAGAGAAACCTGAGATTTGTATGACCTAATACTCAATGAAATGAGCAGAACCAGGAGAAGAGTTTATATGTAATAATTACAACATTGTAAATGAAAAAACTGAAAATCTTAAGAATTCTGATCAATGCGATGACTATTGATGACTCCAGACAACTGTGCTTCCCACTTCTTATTAGGGAGGTGATGAATGTAAATACAAAATGAGATAAACATGGCCAATATGTATACTTGTTTTGCTTAATTATATCTATTTATTCTGGAGGGGAATTTTACAGGGGGAGTCACAGAGAGGCAAAAAAGAAATGAAAGAGTCAACAAAATATTTGAAAAATAGAGAGCAGAAGAAAGTACAGAAGTAATGCATGCAAGCAGAGCAGAGTTGGCACTTTGTCGAATTTAAAGTTCACTATTTTGTATACATTCTACACTTTTTGTATTTTCCACATACTCTTTTATCCTTTGTATATGGAAACATTCGTGTTTATATATCTTTGTCAAATTCATAATAAAAATGAAAATTTGGAAGTGGGAAACAAGTAAAAAGTTTATCAGATGAAGAAACTTAAACCCAGAAAAATTAAGTGATTTGCCCAAATTCACATAAGTAGTAATAAAGCTAAGATGCAAAACATATTTAGAATAGAATAGGGTTTCCTTTGTATGTTAGTCTCTTTGCTTCTTTGGTATCTGGAAAATGACTGAACAAATTATAGTATGTCTATGTAATGGAATACTATTGTGCAGGAAGAAATGATGAAAAGGATGGCTTCAGTGAAACCTGGGAACACTTATGATGAAAATATTAATGCAGAGTGAAGTGAGCAAAACAAGGAAAATGATGTATTTAGTATAATAGCAGCAACATTATAAAAAAAAAGCAACTTTGAAAACTTTGAGAACTCTGATCAGTGCAATGACCAGCCTTGATTCTAAAGGACTAATAATGAAGCATGCTACCCACCTCCTGACAGAGACATAATGGTCTAAAGGTGTAGAATACAACATTTTTGGATGTGGCCCATGAAGTATTGTTTTGCTTGACTAAACATATTTATTACTAGAGTTTTGATTTTCTTTTTTCTTTTTCCAAAGGGAAGATGGGTGGGAGAGAAAAATCAATTTTTGTTAATTGAAAAAAATTTAATTTTAAAAAGCAAATCTCTTCTTTTAAGAATCCAACTTAGGTGCTGCCAAGTCTGTGAAATCTTCTCCTAGTTGGTCTCTCCCTCTTAAAATATCTTTCAAAACTTTAGCCCTCTCCTTTGTATTTGCCAATACTCCATGTAAAGTTGTCATAACTAGTAACATTTTTAATAATACTATTAATACATTATTAACATGTTCCTTAATATTATAAAATCCCATTGTAACATTTCTTTTAGCTCATTCAACAAGTGAGAGGCAGCCATAATGTTTTGTGTCTTAGAAAGCTAACTTCAGAGCCAGAAAGACCAGACATATGACTCTGAGCAAGTAATTTAAGCTCTCATTGCTCTGGACAAATCTTTAAGACTGAAAGTTGCAGAAAAGGTCCTGACCTGCATTGGCAGAGGATGTTTCTTCACCTGGGGCTCCCTTTATCAATGAAATCATAGATCTGGTCCCTCTCCTCTATCCTCTCAATAACCAAAGACCATCTTGATCTTCCAGACCCCTCTCCTTCAGAATCTACCTGTCTGCCTCTCCCAGTCACCACCTTATACCTTGTAAGTTCATTCGCCATGAACTATTTTTTCTTAGATAAATCTCAAAAGCCCATGGCATCATTTTCTTCTTTGCCCTGCTTTAGGCTCAAAAGATGTGACTCTTCTTACAGCTAAAGCCAACCCCTCTACATGTACCTTATATCCCACACTCTCCTATCTTCTTCAGCATATCGCACCACTAGAGTCCCTCTCTGACCTTCGGTCTTCTCCCTACTCTTCTTTTCCTGATACCTACAAAATAGGATCAAGCTTCCACCATGCTTAAAATTTTCCAAAAGCTGCATATATTCATCTCTGTTTATTCTCTTTTGTTTGCTTCTCAGTTCTAGCTTCCCACTACCTCACTCAAACCACTCAACCTTTCGATTGAAACTGCTTTCTCCAAAGTTACCAGTGATCTCCTAATTATTGTCTCTGATGGTCTTTTCTAAGTCTTCATTCATACTGAATTCTGTAGCATCTGACACTGCTGACCACACTCTCCTTTTAGATAGTCTGTCCTTTAGGTTTTCATGACATTTCTCTCATCTCCAATTCTCTTCCTCTCCCACTGTCCTTCATCTCTTCCTCTCTCACCCTCTCTCTTCAGTCTCCTTTGCTGGCTCATCATCCATATCATACTCCTAATTGTGGGTGTATACTTCAAGGCTTAGTCGTTGTCCCCCTTCTTTTCACTTCTATACTGCTTCCCTGGGTGACTTCATCAATCCACATGTGTTCAATTTTCATCTCTATACAGATAGTTCCCAGGTCTATATCAAGCCCTAGTCTCTTGAACTTTAATTCTGCATTTCCCATTGCCTTTTGGGCATTTCAAACTGGGTGTCCCAGAGACATCTCAAATTCAAGTTGACCAAAAGCGTCATGTTTCTATCACAACTGACCTCTCTTTCATTTTTATCCTTCAGTCACCTAGACTTACATCCTCACCATTCTTTTCAACTCTTCTCCCTTATATCCAGTAAGTTGACATATCATGTCATTTCTCAAACCTGTCCTCTTCTCTCTACTCACATGATCACCATCCTAGTTGAAGCCTTTATCAACTCTCACCTAGACTATTACAAGAACCTCCTAATGGTCATCTTGCCTCAAATCTCTCCCTACTCTATCATTCATCCTTTACGCAGATGCCAAAGTGATTTTCCTAAAGTGCAGGTCTGATTGTGCCACTTCCCTTCTCAGTAAACTACAGTGGCTCCCTTGTTACCTCCAGAATCCGCATAAACTCTTCTATTTGGTTTTTAAACCCCTTCCCTACCTGCCCAAAATATCGTTTCCTATCTTGTTGAGCATCATTCTCCTTTCCTTCACTCTTGGGTCCAACCAGACAAATCTTTTTCTTCCTGCCTCTGTCTCTTTTCACCACCATTCCTGGAACCTACTCCCTCCTCGCTCCTACCTCTTAGGACTGTCTCATTTATGTCAAAACTCAGCTCAAATACCACCTTCTAAATGAAGCCATTTCTGATCCTCCCCCTTCCTCCCGCTATCCTTTACCTACACAATTACCTTGTGTTTATCTTGTAAATATTTTGTGTTTTGTATATAATAATATATGGGTGTATTACTTCCCCTGGTAGAATGTAAGCTTTTTTACTTAAGGGACTGTTTTATATATGTCTATAGCCACCGTTATATAACTTATAGCTATAGATATATATGTGTATGCATTTATATTTATATACACACATACACATGTATATGTGTATATGTATTATATATATATGTATACACACATATATACATACATATATGTATGTGTGTGGTTTTGACCTTCAGGCTCTACATATATGCACACACACACACACACACACACACACACACAAGTGTGGAAGGTTGGCAGATATCTGGATGTAGTAATAGCTAGGGGTCCTAACTGGGGAAGACCAGGGAAGCTCTGGGAGCTCTCATCCTGGAGTAAGATGTATATATACATATATACACACACATACAAATATGTTCCATTCATAATACTGTTGGTATGACTCTAAATATCCCCATAAGAGTTGTTTAATCACTTAAAGTCATGTGTTCATGAAACAGATTAATGCTAGGCAGAGTAAACTTGTAAATGGTTTTTGATTTCCCCTGCTAGATCATAAGCTTTTTTTTTTTTGTGAAGGCAGAGGCTCTGGTTTTATCTCTGAATTAAGTAAAGTGCATTTATTGCTTAACAAATGTTTGTTTAATCGAATTAAAAACCAAGTATAGTGTGGTCAGTGCTTCTTATTAACTTAGTGATGAAGGGAGGCCTTGCAAAGGCAGCCCTGCTCCTCTGTTACCTGAGCTCTGAATTTCTGCCACTGGGTTTTTCCGGTTGGAAACAGAGAGCTGCTTGGCAATGCTGCGCCCTGATACTCTTGAGTTTCTTCTCCTAGGTGACTGATTTTGGTTTAGCGGTGCAAAAAGAGGGCGGATATGAAGCCATGTTTCAGACGACTTGTGGGACTCCTATTTATATGGGTAAGTTCAGCATTTCAAGGTTCTAAATCATGAAAAAAAACTGATTGGAAATAAACTATAAAGCTTTACTAATATAATGTGGTTTTCCCTTAACCATTGAAGAGTAATAAGGAACACTCATTCCTTAGATTTTTCAACTTAGAAATGACCTTAGAGATCATATCATTCAATCCAGTTCATTCACGGGGGAGGAAACTGAAGCTCAGAACAGGGCAGGACTTGCCTGAAGCATTGAAAGTATCAGGACTGGAAATTCTGTTCAATCCCAGATGTATTTACTGAGCATCTGCTCTGTGCCGGGTCCTGGGGACACAAAGACAAAACAAAAGAGTGACTGCCCTCAATGAGCTTACACTTCGCTGGAGGGGGAACAACACATGCACCTATAAGTAAATACAAAATTCTGTCAAAGTGATTTCCAGAGGACAGGAGTAAGGTCTAATATGCAGACTAGTTTGTAAGCAATAGAATAGGGGTTTGGAGGGCACAATGTAGGAGAGGGATAAGGATATTAGAGAGAAGGGAGCTGAGAGTGTGGGTCAGGGGAGGAAGCTTCAGCCTAGGCAGCCTAGAACTCAGAATTACAAGTTGAACTATAGAAATAGTTTTTTTTTTAAATTTTTTTGTCCTAAAACAATGTATCTGTTGATTTGATTATCAGCCCTTCAACAGGAAGCAGATATGTGCTAGACCAGCCTAGTGGTCATGGCAGAGGTTGGGGTTCTGGTTATCAGAGGGTGACTTCTGATCACCAGCTCTGCCTCAAGGTTCAGGCCAGTGCTGAGTAAATGATTTCCCCTAGGAAGTAGCCCACAGCAGGGGTCTCAGGAGGGCCTTTGGACCTGGCTGGAGGGGCCGTGTGGAAGGGTAAGGGTGGCAGGGCAGGCAGATGACCTCAAGGCTAAGGCAGAGGTTGATGGAGTCCCAGGGCCATTCTGAGCCCAAGTTTTCTCACTCTGAATCCATTACACTTTTCACTTACCCATGCTACTTCCTACCATTCTTTTCAAACTGAAAAACGATAGTTGGTCTGTGGTCCAGCCGCAGAACTCTATACATGTTGGGCTATCTGGATATGTCATGTTTCACATTACCTGACTGTGTAGCAGACATCAAGGAACTAAGCAAGAATTAATTAATCCCCACAAGCACTTATTAAGTCCCAGACGCTGTGCTAAACACTATGAAACAAAAACAAAAACAAAAGAAACAATTCCTGCTCTCAAGAAGCTTATATTCTATAGGGAGGTAAAACATGTACAACAGGTAACATATAAATATATGCAGAGTAAGTAGATTCAGACTAATATTGAGAGGAAGGCACCAGCAGCTGTGGGGATCAGGAAAGCTCTCATATTGAGCAGAAAGGAGAGACATGGTCAGGAACGATAAGTAGAGACCAGTTCCCAGGCTATTGCAACAGTTCATGTGAGATGTATTGCTGGGCAGAACAATGGTGGTAAGAAAGGAATGGATTTGAATGGAGGTTGTGCAGTTAGAATAGAATGGATAAGCTTTGACAGCTGATTTTCTCCAAGGGGTAAGAGAGAGTAGGAATGACTCCAAGGTTACACACCTCGGTGACTAGAAGGAAGGTGGTACCCTCGGAAGGGAGAAGGAAGCTAGAAAGACAAAATCAATGGCTTATGTTGGCTCCACTTTTCTTATTTCCTGAACATGCTCATGTTGTGCTCAGCATAATTCCCATGGTAGGGTCAACAATGACAGGGCAGGTGATTAGTCTAGATAACCTCTCAGGTCCCTTCTAACCCTGAGACTCTGTTATTCTGTGATTCTCATTTCACCTTAGCTAAGTGTCTTTCATATATCTCAGATCTGGATCTTAAGAGATCCATTATTATCCCCATTTTACAAATTAGGCATGAGTCCTTGAGAGCTAAAGTGACTTATCTAAGGTCACCAGGCTATCCCTGTGAGTGACAGGACCAGAAGATTTGGGTCCTTGCTGTGTGAATATAAAGAGCATTAATCTGAGGGAACATACCAGAACTTGTCATTGTTGGGCAGATGGAGACATACATAAACATAAATATTTAATCTTTCAAAATGGAAGATAATTTTTAAAAATATAATAATTTTACCAACCTTTTTCCCTCTTAAAGGTAGTCATTTATCAATGCTCAAATATTTGGGAATTGGTTATCCTTTTTGTCATTACCCTCATTTATTCCTTGTCCTCCTCCTTCTTTTTCCCTTCTACTTTTGGCTTTTTCTTTGTTCTGCCACCAAAAGAAGAGTAAGGAAGAAGAAATAGAATGCAACCCAGAGAAGCAGTATAGTATTTAGGAAAAGGATGTTGGACATAGAGTCAGGAGAAACCTGGTTTCCAATATTAGCTCTGACTCTTCACTAGCTATGTGACCATGATCTGTAAATTGGGGATAATAACACCTGTAAGAGCAATATCACAGGTTTGTTGTGAGGATCAGATGAGATAACATATGTTAAAACACTCTGTAAACCTTGAATTATTGTCTAATTCTTTTTGTCTTTATGTGTCCTTGGGCAAGGTACTTCCCCTATGTTGAGTCTCACCTCATTTATCAAGGTGCACTACCTATCTCATTTAGTTGTTGTCAGGGTCAAACGAGCAAATTGTATTTACACTTTGTATACCTCAGTGGTGCAGTGGAGAGAGTGCCAGGTCTGGAGTCAGGAAGACCTGAGTTCAGTTCCAGCCTCAGATGCTTATTAGTTATGTGACCCTGGGCAAGTCACTTCACCCTGTTTGCCTCAGTTTCCTCATCTGTAAAATGAGCTGGAGACAGAAATGGCCAACCACTTCAGTATCTTTGCCAAGAAAATCACAAATGGGGTCATGAAGAGTCAGCCACAACTGAAATGACTGAACAACAGTACATTAAAACATCACTAAGAATGAGTTATTATTGCTGTTAATCCATTTTTATTCTTGTTAATTTTTCCATAAAAGGCACACATGTGCATGCAGACTTGGGGCCTGAAACAATTGTCTAAAATGTGCTTTTTGTATTGTGTGACTTTTGTTTATGAGACCACTTTCACTTTAGCAAAGATAATTCAAAGCTGTCTTTACAGGTGTGCCTCATTTTATGCAGCAGAAATGTTCTTTAAAAGCTGTGTATCAGGGCAGCTAGGTGGCGCAATGGATAGAGCACAGGTCCTGAAGTCAAGAGCACCTGAGTTCAAATTTGGCCTCAGACCAAACACTTGACACTTATTAGCTGTGTGACCCTGGGCAAGTCACTTAACCCCAATTGCCCCTCCCCCCAAAAAAGTTGTGTATCAATCTTATTTAGGCAAATCACATTTTGGTAAGGGAGGTTTATTTATTAATTTTATTATTATTATTATTAAATTTATTAATTTTATAGAGATTTGCTTATGGAGCCTTTTGTTGATAAATCAACAAGCCCTGAGTCAAGCCTAAAGAGACCCTGTAAGTTTTGGAGCCTGCTTTGTCATTGACTCAGCCTGGGTTCCAGTTGGACCTCAGGCAAATCATTTGACCCCTCTCTTATGTTTTGTTGTTCTTGTTCAGCCGTTTCAGTTGAGACTAACCCTTCGTGAGCCCATTTGGGGTTTTCTTGGCAGAGATACTGGAGTGGTTTGCCATTTCCTTCTCCAGCTCATTTTACAAGTGAGGAAACTGAGGCAAACAGGGTGAAGTGACTTGCCCAGGGTCACACAGCTAGTAAATGTATGTAGAATCATAGAATTTTCTAGCTGAAGGAGACCTCAGAGATAATCTTTTCCAAACTCATAGAGATCTCTAAAGGTCTCTTCTAGTTCCAGTTATCCTGTGATTCTAAGCCATGTGACCATATATGTCACTGGAATTCTTTGCTACAGTTTTCTCATCTGTAAAACGGAGACATTAATATATGCCCTGCCTACTTCCAGGATCAAATGAGATAACAGTGTAAAAGTAGTATAAAAAAATAAAAGTAAAGAACAGATCTTTGGTAATTGTCTGAATTTGTAAAGTCAATTTTCGCATATTAAGTTTATTTGAAGCAAAGTACACCTGTATAATACTTCGATACGTCCAGGATGTGTAGCTTTATGAGTGTGAGTCCACCCTCCAATTATGTCATTCGTAGCCTGTCCATACTCCAGACCGTCTCTGAGAGTTGAAACTATCCAGTGCCAGTCTTTGGGTAAAGAGCATCTTAGTGAGGCAGGTCCTCAGATAATAAATGGAGAGCCCTTTTCTGGAGACTTTCCAGCCAGAGCTGCTTTAGGGACAGCTGCTACTGACATTCTCTGCTTCTATCAAGGTTTATCTCATGTGCCACTCACTTCTCCAGGAAGCCCTTGCTTATCCCTCACTCTCTCCTTCCTCATGTTCTCTGACATTACCTTATTGTTTACCTGTTTATATCCTCCAGCAAAAGGTTCAGCTCCCTGAAAGCAGGAAGTTTTCATTTCTGCCTTACATGTAGTAAGCATTTAATGAATGTTTTTAATTGAATCAAATTGAATGCAAAAGCCTATAGTAAGGCACAGTGAGATGTTAGAGCAAGGGCAGGGAACCTGCAGCCTCGAGGCCACATTTGACCTTCTAGGTCCTCGGGTGCGGCCTTTTGACTGAGTCCAAGTTTTACAGAACAAATCCTTTTATGAAGGGGATTTGTCCTGTGAAGTTTGGATTCAGTCAGAGGGCTGCACTTGAGGACCTAGAGGTCCACGTGTGGCCTCAAGGCTGCAGGTTCCCACCCCTGCATTAGAGTAAAACTTTGGTGGAGAATCTCTGTAATACTTCCACTTTCACACCTAAAGTGGCTCATCCACCATTACAGATTGCATCCCATCCATGCCTTCTCGTCCCATGCAATGTTTATTTATATCTTTGCTATGACTCCTCCCTAGGAGATCCATCCAAGGTGCTAGAGGCTTCCTCTGGTTCTTTTAATAACAAATGGTGGCATTTAATGACGCCGTTGTTTTTTGATGAGAAACATGACTTTGTTGTCTTGCATTTGTGTAGACAATTAATCAACAGATATTCATTAAGCACCTGCAATACGCCAAGCACCATCCTAAGCACTGGGATACAAGACAAAAGTGAAAACAGTCTTTGCTTTCAAGTGAATAGAGATCTTTTTGTTTTTAAAGCAAGGAGGTCCTAAGGTTTTTGGAGTCTTCTTTGTCATTGATTCAGTCTGGGCTCCCGTCCCAGCTGTCATACTAAACAGTTACGTGAACCTAGGCAAGCCCTTTGACCCTTCTGGGCTTCTGTTTTCTCATAGAACTCTCTAGTTGAAGGAGACCTTGGAAATAATCTGTTCCAAACTCCTCGAAATCTCTAAAATTTCTCTCCTAGGTTTAGCATCCTAGATTTTGAGCCATGTGACTATATCTGTCCCTGGAGCTCTTTATGTCACATTTTCTCATCTGTGAAATGGGGACATTAATACTTGCCCTGTCTACTTCACAGAGATGTTTCAAGAACCAAATAACAACATAAAAGTCGTGTAAAAAATAAAAAGTGATGAACAAACACAAACATTCCTTTGATAAATAATTGTCTGAATATTTGCAGTCAGTGTATATGTATGTATATACACATATGTATGTATATTTTCTTCTATAGAGGGAAACACCATATATGTAGGGAGGTATACAATAAATACAGACTGATTTAGGAAGGATTACAGGAATCAGAAAAGGCTTCATTTAGAAGGTGTCTTAAAGGGAACTAGGAATTCTGGGAAGCAGAGGTAAGGATAGCATTAATTCCAGATGTGTGGGAGGATTTGGAGGGAGGGCACACAATACAAAAGCATGGAGATTGGAGATGGAAAGCCATGTATGAAGAAGAGTAAAGAGGCCAGTTAGACTGGACCACAGGGTCTGTGAAGGGGAGTGATGTGTAATAAAATGAAACTGGTTCAGGCTAGGTTGTGAAGGGCTTCAAGTACTGATCACATCAGTTTATGTTTGACTCTAAGGCGATAGGGAACCACTGAAATTTATTAAGAGGGGAGAGGGAAGGGGTCTAAACATAGTCAGGCCTGAACTTTAAGAAAATCAGTTTGACAGCTGTGTGGGAAATGGATTGGAGTGGGGACATGATGCTGCAAGGCCAATTGGGAAACCCTTTCAGTAATACAGATGAGAAGTGATTAGAACCTAAACTAGAAGAGTGACTATATGGGTGGAAAGAATGGGACATACATGAGAGATGTTGTGGATAGAGAAAGGATAATATTTGGCTATAAATTATATATTGAAATGAACAAGTATGAGGACTCATTGATGACCCCAGTTGTGAAGTTGAGTGACAGGATGTATGATGATGCCCTTGACAGAACTAGTGAAGTTTAGAAGGGTAGGTTTTGAAAGAGAGGTGAGTTCTGTTTGGGACCTCTTGAGTGTGAGATGCCAGTGAGGTATCCTATTAAAAATGTCTAATAGGCAATTGTTGGTTCAGGATTAAAGTTTAAAGAGAGATGAAGGCTCAAGGTATAGATCTGGCAATCTTCCATGTAGAAGTGGCAATTAAATCCATCGGAGTTGATGAGTTTGGTCAGTGAAAGTGTAGGGATAGAGGAGAAAGTACCTCAGGACAGAGTCTTGGGGAACACCTGCAGTTGGAGACGGGCATGGTGAAGATGACAAACCAGCAAAGGAATCTGAGAAACAATGCTCATACAGTAGAAGTAGAACCAAAAGAGAGAGAAATAATATCCAGAAGGAGAGAATGAACAGTGCTAGCAGATGTTATAGAGAGGTAAATAAGGGTTACCAACAGATTTGGCAATTAAGATGGCCTTGGTAACTTTGGAAAGAGCACTTTCAGCTGAATGATGAGTTCAGATTGCCAAGGAATGAGAAATAAGTGAGAAGAGAAATAGAGACAAGGGTGGAGGACTAGAAGGCAAAAAGTTTGAGAAGATAGTAGGGCCTCATGAAGTTTGTTAAGGAGAGACTTGGGCATGTTTATAGCCAGAGGTAAAAGAAGCAGTAGATAGGGAGAGATTGAAGATTAGGGAAAGAAGGGAAGTGATAATGGGGTCAATCAGCTAGAGGAGACAGAAGGCAGTGGGATCAAGGGAACACTCAGAGGTGTTGCTGAGGAGGAAGGCCAACTCGACATGGAAAACTGGAATAAAGAAGATAGTGGGGATGATGTCAAGGGCTTGTGAACTGAGGTGGGAAGAAGTAAGTGCTCACAGTGAGTGGCCTCTGTTTTCTCAGTACAATGAGTCAAAGTCACCTGAAAAGATGTGGAAGAAGTGGCTTATTAGGTTTGAGGAAAGGAGAGAAAGTTTGGAACAGCCAACATGTAGAATAGGATCGTGAATCAATTAGGAAGGAGTAAAAGTCTTGTCACGGTGCAGTAAAAGCCCAGACAAGATTAGATAACAAATTTGTAGTGCCCCAGTTAGCTTGGTTGCATGACTACCTCTGGCTGTGCAGCGTATGAGTAGAAGCAGGGGAGGCAGGAACAATCCAGGGTTGGGGCTTACAAAATATGAGTAGAAATATGACATAGAAATGAGAGATTAGAGAGTGGAAGGCGATGTAGAATTGACTTGGTTAACTAAAAGTACTCAGGGTTTGATAAATCACTTTTGACCAGTTACAAAGAGAAAACCAAATCTCGTTTAATTCTTCAGTTTATGTCATCATCTTGTTAGGACCTGAGAGATGGAAGTGAGGACACATCCACATGGATTTTTAAGACCTGTGCATTATTCATTTAAAACATCTGCTGGTTCTTGTTTTCAAAGGAAAATCAATGATAACCCATCCATGCATCCTTCATGCTCTGTATTTAAGCTTTTCAATCATTTTTTGCATTATTAATGTTGTTGTTTTCTACTTGCTTGGCAGCACCTGAAGTGATCAATGCCCATGACTATAGCCAACAGTGTGACATCTGGAGCATAGGTGTCATTATGTACATGCTGTAAGTAGCCAGCGAAACGTGAATGAATGGGACTACCTGCTAGAGGGGCTTGTGAGCTTGCTTTTTTTTTGTTTTTGTTTTTTTTGGTCTTGGATCTATGAATTCAACAAAGTGGGTAACTCGTTGGTTTTGGGACTTCTTTCAAGGAGTACCAATTGGCAACTGGTCTCTAACCTCAGTGCCTGAGGCACTGAGAATTAACTTCCCATGGTCACACAGCTAGTATCTGTTAAAGGCAGGCTTTGGACCCAGGTATTCTTGACTCCATGGCTGCTCCTTTACCCACTATATCATGCCGAATCTTGAGTTTGTATTAAGACACACAAGTATCTATTAAAAGATGAGTTTAGCCACAACCTGGGAAGCCATCTTCAAATAATTGACAGTGTATTCTATCAGTCATCGGTTATGTGTGTTAGAAATGCATTATTTTAAATTATGTAAGTGGTAGAAGTAGCATAGGATTTAGAGCTGGAAGAGGCCCTCGAGATCATTTAAAACCAGTCCCCTAATTTTCATTTGAGGAAAATGAGGCTCGTGGAGAGGTTGTAAGTCGCCCAATATAAATTAAGTAGCAGAATTAGTGTTGGTCCTCTGACCCTAAATCCTAAATCTTATTATTTTTAGCCCCTTTATATGGTTGATACAGTATTGAGCACTCTGGATATGGGGAGGGGAAAAGAGCCTTTGCCCCCCTGGTGTTGGCTCAAACTTGACTCTCTAGCCCCTCAATTCCTTATCTCTCCTCACTTTTGCAGCCAAATTCCTAAAAAAAATACCATTTCAGTTCCCTTTTCCATATATTCGCCTCCTGCTCACTTCTCAGCCTTTTGATATCTGGCTTCCAATCCCACAACTAAACTGGTGGTAATCCTCTCGATCACCAACAATCTCTTAATTGTTACATTCAATGGCCTTTTCCCAGTCGTTGAACCTCTTGACCTCTGCAGCTTTTGACACCTGAGTCCTGCCTCTCCTTGGATACTTTCTCCCTCCTGGGTTTTCATGGCATTGCTCTCTCTTGGTTCCCTTCCTACCCTAGAATGGTCTTCCTGATCCTTTTACGTATATACTATGCTTGATCATCACCCATATCCCACCCCTTTGGTGTGGAGGTAACCAGGTCTCTGTTCTGGGCCCTCGTTCTCTTGTTACACCTTTTCACTTGGGAACTTCATTCACTTCAATGGGTTCTACTCTATGCAAAGCCCCCTAAATGTGTATATTCTGGCCCTAATCTCTCTCCAGAGCACCAGGCGTTCATCTCCAATGATCTTCTAGACATATCCACCAGAATGTGCCATAGGTATCTCAAACTCAAAAAGTCTACAGCAGAACTCATTATCTTTCTCACAACCTAAACCTATTAATAATTTGCCTATTTCTTTCAAAGACACCATCATTTTCTAGTCACCCAGGTTCCCAATCTAGGTGTCCTCCTTCACTCCTCTGGAGGCAGCTAGGCAAAACAAGGGATAAAGCACTGGACTTGGTAGGCAAGAAGATCTGAATTCAAATACTGCCTCAGACGTTTTATAGCTGCGTTATCCTAGGCAAATCATTTAATCTCATCTCTGCCTCAGTTTCCTCACCTATAAAACAGAGATGATAATAGCATTCATCTCCCAGGATTGTTGTGAGGATCAAATGATATATTTGTAAAGTGTTTTGCAAATCTTAAAGCTCTCTATAAATGCTATTTTCATTATTACTACTATTACTACTATTATTATTATTATATTCTCTCCTCATCCAACCAACAGCAAAGTCTTGTTGGTTCTATATCAACATCTCTCACTTCCAACCCTCTTTTCTGTGTTCATAACCACAGTCACCCTAGTTCAGGCTCTTAATACCTTTTACCTGGATTATTGCAGTAGCAACCTAATTAATTGGTCTCCTTGAATCCAGTCTCTTCCCCCTTCCAATCCATCTCCCACATAGCCTCCAAATTGATGTTCCTTAATCACAAGTCTGACCATGCCACTGCCCTGTTCAGGAAGCTTCAGTAATTCCCAGTTACCTTTAGGAAAAAAAAATATAGACTTTGCTGTTTGTTGTTTAAAGTCCTTCACAATCCAGCACCAGCGTATCTTTCCAGTCTGATTTTACATTAGTCTCCCTTGTGCATGTTTTTTTTTTTTT